TCAATCTTTATTTTTTCCTTCACCAAATTACTTTGATTTTAAAAGTGAACCACAGTTTATATATTGACCCAGATAAGAGGACAAGGAGTATTTGCCTTTTCTAAAAATAAACATGGAAAAGGCAAAAAGCTGTTGGATTTTCAGCAGCACTTCAATGAAATTATTCATAAGAATTAACAAATTGACCTTAGGAAAAAAACTCTACTAAACCAAAGCTATGAAGAGAGAACTACTTTCCTCTACGTGTACTTCATCATCCTCTAGCCTTTATTAGGTAATGGAAAGGATAGAAGACTTCTAATCATATTTTAAAAACTCAGATTATAATTCAGTAAGTCTAGTATGTGGTCTGAAATTCTGCGCATCAGCCCTGTTCTAGTAAACTCATTATCTACTGGAGAAAGAAGGCACAAAAAAATTGCATGCAATGTTATGAGTAAAAAGCACTCAGTAATTTCACACACAATTCATCCTCCTACAAGCAAGCGTAAGATGTAAAGAGAAACCAAAATCAATCAGCTCAAAGGGAGTCAGAGAGCATGATCACAGACTGTGAGTCAAACAGCACTGCCCTCATATTTTCACATGTATTTGAGCAACTAGAAACCCTGGCATTTTCACTAGAGATATTGAATAAATTTTAAGAATTAAATACATGACAGAGCAATGAATATCTGTTGTGGTTTTTCTGTCATCTATAAGTTGGTCAAGACTAAAACCTAGACAAGTTATATCATGAAATTAACATTTTGGGATGAGAGTTCTTCATATGCAGCAATGAGAGGTCTTCAAGGATATACATTACATAGTACAGTTGGTCATTTGACATAAATTTGGGTTTAGTACCCAAGACTTTTTTTAACTATCCAGTGAAAATAGAAAGCATGTGAAAGAGTTTTAAGTGTAAGTAAACCCTTGCACTCTCAGTTGGATGAGCTCACACACCAGGATGACAAATCTATCATAGATCTTAAATTTTCCTAACCGTTTACTTAAGATGGAATCATAGAAAAGCATCACACCACAAATCTACATGAGAGTGGCATCCTAATCTGCATCATGGAATTTGTAAAATCTTTGAAAGTTAGTTAATGACATGAAGCAGCAAAGAAAGTAGCCACTTACCAAGTTCACCAGAGGCCCCCCAGAATTCCCGTGCTGAAGAGAGAATTTGAAAGAGCCATCAGTACTTTTCTCCTCATCATTTTTACATTATTCCTAGACAGGTTTACCAAAAGCAACCCATTCTAGTGAGCCCCTGTCACCCCAAGGCAGGCAAAGTTGCCCCCGCATCATCAATACTGAAGTCAGTGCAGGTAAAGAACAACAGCAAATGAACCGCCACCTGCCAAAAGCAGTGATGACCTCTATGAGAGACCCTAACAGACCACCAATATCATGGATGCTATCCTTATGCTAGGCATCACATCAAACAGGCTGAACTCTAAGAACGTGGCATCACACCCCTCTCATAAGGATCTAATTGAACTCTGAACATCCCTCGAAAGGCCAAAGGGAAAAGCAGACACTCTGAAGTGTTTTTCTCACTGCATTCACAGTATCATAAGGGTTCATAATGGCCCTCCCAAGTGACTTACATTAATTATGGCATCAGTTTGGATATAGTCTATGTCTGAATCCTTCAGCCCCAGCTCTTTGCTTCCTCGCTGTGTAGTGCTGACAATGCCTGCAGTCACTGTGTTCTGCAGAGAAAATGGACTGCCCAAGGCCACCACAAACTCTCCAGCCCGCAGGTCAGAGGACCTTCCCAGAAGCAATACGGGGAGGTCAGTCTGCACATGGGCAAGAAGGGTTGGGGAGGACAGAGAGGCGAACAAAAAAATCAAGAATAGATTCAACCAGTATGTGTGTACAACACATATATGATACAATCTTTGTCATTTTGGCATTTATAATCCAAGAATCACACATCCAAATAGGTTCTAGGACTGCCTGATGCTTCTTTCTCACATTCCAACTACCACCAGTAACTAAAATGATTAGGATCATCTCTAAATCTAAAATTATTGCTTTGTAGACATTACTATAAGTAATGCATGAGTGAAGTAACTGATGAACATAAACTAACATTAGCAATTTACGTACCATCATTCCATCTCAAAAGTTTACAGTCAAACTTTAATGTGCACACGAATCACCTGGGAATCTTAAGAAAATGCAGATTCTGATTCAGTAGACCTGGGTGGGGTCTGAGATTCTGCATTTCCAAAAAATTCTCAGATGATGTCAATGTTGCTGGTATGCAGACCACACTTTGTATAGCAAAGACCTCAAATGTTCCTTTACAGCTCTCAATCCATTGGTCATTCCTGGTACTCTAAGATAAGCAGAGAAATAAGTTTCCCAGAAGAAGCATCTGTTGAAGAAGGCAGTGAAGAAGACAAAAAAAAAAAAAAGACTGCTGGATAGTTAATAGAAATTGTTAGGGATATACAGACAGGCATGGAAGAAAATAGAGAGTAAGAAGAAAAAAAAAAACTAGAAAACAGCACATACTGGGTAGAAAAGATGGGGAAGAAAAAATGAGCAAACTGAGGAATATCCCCAAATATGCAGACTCTGATTTCACTCTGGTATACTCACATTTGGCTCAATCTTAATTAGTGCAAGATCCAATTTATGGTCAATGTCCTTGACAGTGGCTTCATACTGGACCCCACTCTGGAGCTCCACCTGGATTCGCTGATGGTTGGTGAGGACGTGGGCACTGGTTACAATGAGCCCATCCTCAGACACTATGAACCCAGAGCCACTGGATGCAGGAATATCCTTGTTGCTGAGAGGTGACCTGTCTCAGCAAGACAACAGTATAAGCTGAGGGCAGGAAAGTCAGGGGATCCACCGCAGTCTGGAAACACCAGAACCTCACATTTATCAAGCATACCTCCACCAGTTTTCTCACAACTTTACTTTTCCCTGTGTGTTTCTGTTCTCTCCCTGTGTTACTGAACTCTGCATGTTCAGTGCCCTGGCCATCTCCTGTGATGTGGCTGAGAGCTGATTCCAACTCTCCTTTTCCAGGGTCACTTTCTTCTCCAGAGCTGGTCAGCAAAGCAACCTTCTGCTTCAGAGAGGCCTAACCTAATCACAATACTGTGGGAAATTACCAAGGTCCCAGGCAGAGAGGGAGTCAAAGAAGTCTGCTTCCTGTTTAGGTTCCACTACTAACTAGCCTTGTGACAGAATTTCCTTCCATGCCAACGCAGAGGGCTGAGCAAGAACACCATCCAGATGCTTTCTAGCTCTTGCATCTGACCTTCAATTTTGCCTACGGGAGATGAAGGACAGAGAAATCCCAGCCCCCTATGTGGGGTGCAGTACCGAGATTTGGAAGTCGGAATCCTTACCCTTTCAACGCCCCTGAACAGGTTATTCGACCGCTTTAAGCCGCGATTTCCTCTCAGCGGTTTTTATGACTACATGATGCTTTTAAAGCGGTAGCTCAGAGCCTGGAGCACGGAGGCCCTCAGGTCAGCCGGAGACTGACGGCTTCCTCCTTCCTTTACCTGCGGAACAGCTGCAGATGAACCACGGATGGTGCCACCTTCTCCACCACCGAGGCGATGAAGTTGTACTTGCTCCTGGGTCGGCCTGCGCCTCTAGTCCCTGTGAAGAAATGCTCCATTCTAGGGGGCGGCAGAACCCTCGAGGCCTGACCGTCTCAGGGGTCTGATCTCAAATCTCTGTCTCTCCCCTACCCCTCTCTCCACCTTCCCTTCCCTTCCTCTTTCCTGTTCCCCGTCCTGTTAATTCCATGCAATCCTGTAAGGGTACGCATTTGAAAGAACCAGACCCGCCATCCCAGTTGGAAAAAATTTTGTTAAAGGGAAGGCGGCATTCAACATGTGCGGGGAGGAAACAGGGGAGAAACCACTCGGGAACCGGTAAGGTTCTTTCCTAAAGAGGAAAGAAAATCGGGAACAAGGAGTGGAATCCCTGAGGCCAATGGAGCAGAGCAGAGCCGAGACCACGAGGAGCTGCGCAATTGAAATACGTTGCTTAAAGTTCCAAGAGTGCTCTGAGAGAGCAAGGCCCTGGCGCTCACCTGGATCCCCACAGTCCCCTTTCTGCACCGGCACGGCTGGGAGTGCGCCACGGCGGCGCGCGGCACGGTTTTCGGCGCGGAGCGCGCACAGGCTGGGGTAGGTACGCCCGTCGCTGCCGCATACGGCGGCCCCCACCGCTGGGCAGCCGCAGGTGCCCAACCGAGCACCGCCCAGGCGCCGGGGACCGAACGGCGCTCCACACTGCAGCCCTGGGGCACAGGGTCGGCCGCGCGCCCCGCCGCAGACCTCGCCCTCCGCCGCGGCGCACACACGGCAGCATTGGCAGCGGTCAAGCACCGGCATTGCCCCAGAAGAGCAGGTGGGTAGCGGGGGGCAGCGCATCGGCTCGCAGGCCACGGGGCAGAACAGCGAGGTCCAGGTCCTCTGAGCCTCCACCCTGGGCACAGGCACCAGAGGCGGCAGCAGCCACAGAAGGAGGAATTGTCCCAGCCCAGCTAGACACAGCAGAGGTCTAGTCATCGTGCTTCCTTCTTCGGTCTCACTTTTTCAATTACTTTACTCTGGACGCGCAAACGCTCTTAAATGAGCAACATTTTCTCCCAGCTAGGGTGCTGCCTCCACCAGCCCCCTGACTTTAAGGGGCAGAGCCTGGCAGACCTATGCACACACACACCCATCCATCTTCCCATCACCCGTCCCTCCCCCGAGACCACATCCACCCCCAGGCAATAAA